TGTGTGTGTGTGTGTGTGTGTGTGTATGCGTGTGTGTGTGTGTGCGCGTGTGTGTGTGTGTTTTCATGTAACACTGCTTGTACAGTGTACCATGTGAATGTGCAAGAACAGGGTAGGAACAAAGATGCTGGAATCTGTAAAATATAGTGGTGAAACGAATATTCGAACATTCGTTCGGTTTGTCACATTCGAATATTCTTTAAGTCACATTCGAGTATTCGTTACGTCACTTCGAATGCAGTGCATGTATATACAAGCACGCCGAACACAATACAGTGCAGTGCGTACAGCCTGCATGTGACTTTGTACTCCATGTTTTCTCATGCATGTGCATACTGGACAGCCAATGTAGCAAACAACATGTATGAACTTCGAAGTAGCCTTATGTGGCAGTGCATTTTATGTGGCACTACCGTTTGTCATACCTAATAATAATGACAATATCCATCAAATAGACCGATCCCCTTATTATTGTCTGGGTTCGAGCAAGGGGGCAACTCCGCAGTCGCGTGGGATCCTGCTGCACACACGCGACCAACCTCACCTCGGCTTTGCGTGACTTCTCGCATGCGAAGTGCAGAGCACGCGAAATCTACACGCAGTGCAAGCCTGTCTACAAAAAATGCCACAAGGACTTTTGATTTGAGCTGTTTTGTTTTTGTTTAGACATCTTCCTTTTTACGACTTCAGGATGCTTTCTCAGGATCATTGCTGCGTTCCTCACTGTCAGAACAGGAGGACGAAGCAAGCAAGTCATTTCACTCCTTTCGTCGTGTGGAGCCACAGCGGCCTGGAGCAAGCGGATCCAGGCTATTCCCCGTGAGGAAGGACGTAGTTTTAGGGTCACTCTGAATATTTGAGATGCAGCGATCATTTCGATCCCGAAGTCGAAATCGTTTTGCCCAGCTCTACAAGGGCAGGATGAGTCCAGGAAACCAAACAGCTGTCCTACGGTACCAGGTTTGCTTTTCGCAAGAGAGTGGAGTCTGGACGCTCTGCTCCCTATGCTCGCAAAACAGTATTTGCTGAGCCTAGTGCAGTTCGGTCATGGAAGTGCAGCGTCTGCATCACGAGCTCCCCATGCTCGCAAACCAGTATTTTGCTGAGAGGCAACGGCATTTTGAGTTGGAAAGGAACCTGGCTTAGTGCAGTTTGGTCCTGTAATGGAAGTGCAGCATCTGCATCAGGAGTTGGCAGCAAGTAGAGCTCGTGTACAGAGTCTCGTGGAGCAGTTGGACGATGGGGTGAAGAAAGCCGAAAAACAGCTTACGTACAATAACATAAAGAAAGACTCTGAGCCGCGCCAGTTTCTGACTGGTTTGCCTTCAGGTGTTTGGACCGCTCTGTGGGACTTCTTTGAGCCTAGCCGAGAAAATGTACTGCGCCGAGCCAGATCTGCGAAGACGGAAGCTGAGGGACGGCGGATACAGTTGGAGGTGGCCGTAAATCGCCAATGAGCATGTAATGGAGGATCAGCTGCTATTGGCATTGATGTGTCTAAGCCTGGGCCGAATGGGACAGAAGCTGTCATGCGTGGCACAAGTTAATCATCCGTTTCACGGTATATACTATATAGCTAGCTGAGCTGGAAAGATGTCTTGTTCCTCCGTTTGGGCATGATCCCCATTTGGGCGAGCTGGCGAGATGTTCAGTCATCAATGCCATGTACCGCAAGACATTCTGCATTGTGGATGAAACAGTTCTATTTTGCCATGCACTTAGGGTTCTTGCACCGGCACAAAAAGACCCAACAGATCCTTGCGCTCTTATTTTCTCCCATGGTAACATTGCTGATCACAACACCCGGTAGCCAGTCGCAGATGCAACCAAATCAACCAGGTTCTCTTATTCTTTTTTTCCAATACTGAAACCAAAGGTATACCAATATTTGCATCGAATGTAGTGATGATTTCAATACTGTCCACTAGTACAACGCATTACCAGACTGGCATATAATCATGATAATATTATCCATTTCGCAATCACTGTCATTGCTTTCTTAGATCTTCAATCATCAATATCGGACCATAAACCGTCTATCATCTTCTATTATATCATCATTAGAATCCTGCTACTATCCTCCTCTAACGATGAGCTCGAAGAAAAGAAACAGCGGTCTAGAGGCGTAAACAATATCTGTCAACGGAAGTGTCCTTGCTGTGCTGGTGTGTTAATGCTTCGTGCATTAGTTCGGCCAAGAGCGCATGGTGGTGGCGGGTTGAGGATGTTAAATATACTAGAAAATAGTTCACTCTGAACGTGCAGGGGGTATATTCATAGGTTCGAAAGAACCGCACACACACTTTGCTGCAGACAGCGGCAAGCTTTGGCCCTCGTGCTTCGAAGAGGGAGCAATCCACTGCGCTACGCTTGCGATTAACAGCAAGCTTCGACTTTTCAAAGGTACGACTCATCATTGGCTCTGGGGTAATGTTCCTGGAACAAATGCCCCATAGCCAACTGAGGGCCAGGGAGCACGCAATCTGCCTTCCTGGGCGAGAAGTGTTCCAGCACAAGAAGCAGCACGAATACATGCTGACAAAGACCACCATCACCACCAGCCGGCACACAGCACACTGTTCTTCAAACACCATCCACTCCGTCCATGTGTTTGCACTGTCCTCCTCTAGCTCTTCACGCTCAACAAATAACAAGCACTGCTCATCGTTTTTTTATGCTTCCTCTGGGTTGGCTAGCCCTTCGACTTGACAAAACAGCGATCACCCGTGACTGCACTGCTATCGTCACCTCATAGCAGTCGCTTCCACCAGTGGCTTTTTCCTGTCTTTGCAAGGTGTCCAAGGATGGCTGCTGTTGTCACTACAGGCAAATCAGAAGTACTTTAGTGGCTGATGTCCAACCAGATCGTTGGAAAATCGATTTTTCCACTTCAGGGCTGCTGATCGCGACTTGGTGACTTGGCAGCACCACGGTTACCTTCATAGAAGATGGCTCTGGAGAGGAAAAGACAGACCAGACAAAGGTTACTATTATCTTCAGCACCGATCGCAAGGAGAAAGAAATATGGTCTGCTGTAGCCTAGGCACAAAATAAATCTCACAACACGATTCGCGATTCGAATATTTCAACAACAAAAAAACTCACCTCTGGAGTAACTCCTGTTTGTGGCCCAAGATCGTTCCCTCCCGCGCCTTGAAAAAATCCTGCAGCGGCATCACAGTCCATGTCTCTCTCGGAGACTCTGCTCCTACCAGCAGGAGGTTTAGCACCGCTCGAAGCCATCGCAAACTATTTGAACTAAGCAGAAGACATTCCAAAACAAACCTGAAACACACTGTCAAAGATGCTGTCACGTTCAAAAACTAGCTCGATCGCGAGTGAGGTTGCCCCCGTGCTCAAACCCAGTATAATAAGGGGATCGGTCTATTACTGGGAGGAGGGCATGTGATGTCATCTCTGTTACCAATAGAAATTAAAGAATATTCGTACGTTCGTTCGATAAGCCAAAGAATATTCGGTTACTAGGTTTTGACATTCGTTTCACCACTACTAAAATATGAACATCACTAGCCAGAACGGATAACCTGCCCCACCCCCACCATTCTTTGCCGCTCAATGTGTCTGCAGAGGTCACTGTCTGGTTACTGAACTTGTCTAGGTCAGGAGCAGTTTGACTGTGGCTTCCGTTCTGTGATTAGGCTGTACTTGTGACAAGTGCACACGTCATGTGTGCACTCGTTCGCTTGTGTGCCAGTGTTTGCGTGCTTGTATTTATGTTTGCGTCTCTCTCTCTCTCTCTCTCTCTCTCTCTCTCTCTCTCTCTCTCTCTCTCTCTCTCTCACACACACACACACACACACACACACACACACACACACACACACACACACACACACACACACACACACTCTCTCTCTCTCTCCCCCATTCCATTCCTACATGTCCTCAGACACCAGCTGGCCAGACCGTGGAGGAGGCCAATGCATCAGGCAAGATCAACAAGTGGTGCATTGAGAACTCCTGGGGCGACGCCATGGATGACAAAGGTTACCTCACTGCCACTGACGATTGGTTTGCTGAGTATGTCTTCATGGCCGTTGTGGACAAGCGCTGCCTGGGCGCCGACGCCATTGCTGCCTTGGACAAGCCCGTTCACGTGCTGCCGCCCTGGGACCCCATGGGAACTCTGGCCTGAGCGTGGTGCCGGCCACGGCTCAGCCATCGCTACGCCCACGTGTGCGTGACAGGCGCGCCTCGCTCCCGCTCCTGTGCAGTGTGCGCCATTACCAGCGCCAGCATGGTCGGCAGTACAGTCGTTTGATGTGTTCAAAGTTACTACCGTTTGAGTGTGGTGAACGATGACGTCGTGGGGATGTGCCTATGACGTCATGGGAATACACATATGACGTCACGGGAATGTACCTATGACATCATCGTGTATGAATGCATGGTGTCTGCACTCGCTATGCAGGCGAACGCACACGGACTGCATTACACAACGATGCACATGTATGTATAACTGTGTGTACTGATTACTGGACTGTCTGCCAGTGTGCATTTGGGTTTTCAATACTGCGTTGCACGCACAATGATATCACTGATCTCACTGAGCCTGTTGGACTTTAGCCCACTTTGCTTCTCTCTGCACCACCGCAGGACATGATGGCGTTTCCCAGCTGAGCACCAACTGCCTTACTTGTAGTGGCGTCACTCTCTCGGATTCACACAAACATTCGTCCAAGTCTCTTTTTTTCCTCCGATTCGTTTCTGCTGCCACTGCTTTTGCCAGTTCTGAACTTCTCGCCCGTTTCCCACTCTGGATGACTAGCTAGTGTCCCCCTCAGCCTCCTGACCTTGCTTCGCCTGTCTTTTTAGGCCCACGCTTAGGAAACCGTCTGCTGCAATTTCCAATCAAATGCCATTCCGGCCACTTCTAGTATAGAGTGCCGTTGCGTAGACTTCATACATTCATTCAGCTTCTCAGGTACTTAGTTGTTGTGCACTGCAACACGATTTAGAACAAAAATAAATAAATAAATAAATTTTTAGAGCTTGTTGAATCCAGCGAGCCCCTTCTTCACTCATGCCTGTGTTTTGTTTGTGCGTGCATGCGTGCTTGTGGGCGTGTTCGTGTAGATACGATATTCTGTTGCAGTTGAAGGGTTTGTGTTTGAATGGCCAACCTCTCCCCTCATCCACCCTCTTCACTGACATGCATATCCGTAGACTAGTATACACACACATACACACACACACACACACACACACACACACACACACACACACACACACACACACACGCGCGCGCGCTCCCACCCACCCTCTTCACTCTACTGCGGATGATGAACTCCTTTCCTTTTTGTCTATGTCTAGATTCACTTTTGAAAATACTGATACGTCCATTCGCTGTCACTAATCATGAGTGGAACAGATAGAGTGTTTGGTTAGGTAGTTGTCCGTAGCTCGTATCATTGTGGGTACAAATCTCAGTAGGTGAACAAACAGAAAACAAGAAAAAATGGAGGGATGATTCTAGGAGAGACCTGGTTACCCATGGTAACTGTGTATGGATCAAGGAGCGCTGGTAGTATAGTATGTATGGATAGTGAGGAATTGTGTGTGTTTTGTCAGGTTCTTTTTTGCAGCATCTGTTCTACTGTTTTTGTTTTGTGGTCCTGGCGAGCCCCAATCCTAGCCTGGTTCAGGAGGGGGAGTACCCCTTTTCTGGGGCTGGTTTTGCAGGGGCTGCCTGTCTGGGGTATATGGTTGCCCCTTCTCTGGGGCTGATCCGGCAGGTGCTTGTTCTGGCTGCCCGCTCACACCACCTTCCTCCCTTTTCGCTGCCTCAAACTTATGGACTTTCTTGGTCCAGTGGCAGTCATCACTGATGTTGGCTACCGTGGCAACCCAGGGCCCAGGAACCGCAAATGACACCGAACCGAGTGCACGCACGTGCGCACACACCCACACGCGCGCACACACAAACAACACTACGTGCATGAGCGACCATGACAATACTTCTCTTATCGGCCACTGGCCATCGTAGGGATAAAGTTTTCTGTCAATGACCAATGATAATTTCAATATCGCAACAATGTCTCCTCGCCGATCGACCAATAAAAAAAAAAGCAGTGGAAAGCTGAGACAGACATGCCAGGTAGAGGATGTCTACTGATACCGAGGGATGTGAGTAAAAAGAACGCCAGACCAAGCCAAGCATGCAGCTGGCTGCTGCACCGATCAACCAGCCGCCGTTAGTGCGAGATGTCCTGGAAGTTAGTTGCAAGCAGCACTGTACATGTTAAAAGTCATGTTGTTGGGTTGACAAGGTTTATCTAATACTAGTACTGTACTAGAATGGGGGGGGGGTACTAGTATGGGGGGTACTAGTATGGGGGGGGGGGGGTACTAGAAATACCATCGGATAATTATGACTACGGGCAAAATAGAACTCTGAAAGCTGTCCCCGCGGTAGAGCAAGAAACATAGGTGAAGAACCGGAAATAGGTCAGATCAAGACAGCGTACTCTACCGAGTACACCACCACCAGTGGGTACACATGTGTATTGTACAGCACGATCACACTCCGTGAAAAGCAGGGAGTAGTACAATACTGTATTGTACTACTCCCTGGTGAAAAGCAACATCACTTCGCACAGATCTACTGTATGCGTGCGTGCATGTACTGCATCTAAACCAAGTACATCCTCACAGCCAGCCACTACTACTACCGGTAGTAACTATTCCGACACAGAGTGAGTGACGGCATCAGTCTTCACTTCACTGTTGCAAACTCCAGCATACTGTAGTAAGCCATCTGATCCGAACGAACTCACGCTGGCTTTCACTGCCATGAAAGCACACGGCCTCTCGTTGCCATGGAAGCACATAGCGAAGTCTATTCACTGTACGTGGTCCAATGCACAGCTGGGCGCTAGCCGCTAAGTAGGTGCAGTACAAGTACCAGCCGCTACTTTGCTGGCCGCACTGGAAACAGCAGTTTGTGTTTTAATGCAGCGCAGGGCCATTATGCAGTGCAGGGCCATTAATTATGCAGTACAGGGCCATTATGCAGTGCAGGACCATTATGGAATCAGACCACCGGCCACTTGCTAGAGCTGCGCCACAGCCGGCCGGAGTGCTGCATGGTTGATGCATGCACTTACACATAGTGGCCCGGCCGCGAAGCATCAGGGTATCATTATCAAGGGCGGCCTGACTCAGGGGGGGGGGTACTAAACGTGCCCCAGTAATCGGGTACACTGCCCCCCCCCCCCTCCCCGCACCTCACCTGTGCGCAGCATGTGTCCCAGTCCCCTATTACAGTACTAGCCCGTCCCACTTAGAGTGACACATCATCATTGTTGTTGTTGTTGTCGTCGCTGTCACTCTGCAGCCGTGCAACGCCGGTCAAGTCTGGAAAGTCATCCATCGTGTCGTCGTTGCCAAGTGCTGCTGTACCTCCTGCTTTGACCGCTATGCCTGCGGCTGCTGCTGCTGCTGGTACTGTGGTTCCTGTCGATGCCGGCACTTTGGCTCTCGGTAATGTTGGTGATATATCTACTGCTGCTGCTGCTGTTCCTGCTGCTGGTGTTGCTCTTGTTGTTGCTGCTGCTGTAGCTGCTGCTGCTGTAGCTGCTGCTGCTGTTGTTGTTGTAGCTGTTAGTGCTGATGCTCTCCCAGCTGCTGTTATTGCTGTTGCTACTGTTGTCTGTTCTGGCACTGACGGAGAGTTCGCAATATGTAGCGGTTTCGCAGCTGCCCGTCCAGTCGCACTGCCCTGATACAGGATCGGCGTGGGGCTGACCAGCTCGGGAGTTGCCAGGTGAGAAGCGGACGACGCCGACTGCGACGACGAGATTGCCTCTGACACGCCGTCCAGCGCGCTAAACTCTTCGTCTGTGCCACCAGTGCTAGCGTGCTGTTTCCACTCCGAGCTGTTGACGTGCGCCGCTTGCAGTGGCAGGGTGCTCAACGAATCGCCGCTGTCCGTGTGTGGGAACGCGGCGAAGATCTCACCGGGGCTCTGGCCACCACCGCCGCCGTTGTCATGCCGACCCAGGTGCAGTTCGTGCTCGTTGGCAGCATGGTGACGATGGAGATTATCAAGATCGTAACGTTTCTCAGGTTGCTGCATGTGCTGTTGTTTGTGATGTTGATCACCTTTCTGGGACGCCGCATGTGCAGGTTTGCTCAGCGGATACACACCAGAGAGATGTGAGGAGGATTCGGAATCGTACACCACAGATGCGTGCTGCTTACTACTAACGTATACAGTGGACGGATCACTGTCCGTCATGGAGGTGTGTGTGCTGACTGTCAGTACTTCGCCGGGACTTGGCCGATTTCCAGTCTTATCTGTAACGGCCGTGGGATGCCGGTGCTGCGGACTTGCTACTGATGTTGCTGCTGCTGTTGCTGCTGTTGCTGCGGCACCGCTGGCCACATTCAGATCAGCGCGGCCAGCACGACTGAAGGTTACTGACTGCTTCGGTTTGGTGGTGATATCGCCTGGCTTGCGAAGCGGATTGCCGAGTCCCTCTGCGGAGTCCAGCTGTGTGCTTACAGCTACGGCGGTGCGCTGCGTGTCTCCACGTTGTGCAGTCGTAACCCATGCAGCGGTGCCAAGCCGCCGGGCTGTTGCTAGAGTGTCATCTTCATCGTCGTTATCACCGCGTGTGCCGCGTTGCATGCCAGTGGCCATGCCATCTGCCAGCGGCTGCGATGGTATTGACTTCAGTGCTGCTGTTGTTGTTGTTGTTGTTGTCGGCATGGGGGTGCCGTGATCTGGTAGAGTGAGGTTGTGAACTGCCGACTTCACGCCAGGGTGCACTTCTCCCAGGCTCAGACTAACGGTATTGGCAGTGTCACTGTCCGCAGCAGCAGCAGCACTATCACTGTCACGCCGAGCCTCCTTCCCCACATCGTCCACACACTGCTGTGTTTCTGTAGCAACTCCAGTAGATGCAGCAGCAGCACCAGCAGTTGCACTGCCAGCAATAGCAGCAGCACCAGCAGTAGTACCTCTGCTAGCAACAGCAGATGCACTACCACCACCAGTAGCAGCAGCAGCAGCAGCAGCAGTTACATTACTAGCAGTAACAGGAGCTACGCCGGCTGAAGCACCACGGTTACCATACTGTGTTGCCATAACAATCACATCCGTGCCACGAGCAATGCCTGGGAGTGCACCTGCTGACAGTCGCGATGCCGTGTCCACATCACTCACACTCGTGTCGTCCTCGTCCAGCGACCAGCGTTGCTGCTCGCGCCGTCGCTGCCGTGGCAACAGCTGCCCTGGCGACGGGAGGTGCTCGACGGCGGACGAATCGCACTCGCTGCTAGCACTGCTCATTGTCATGGCAACTGTACGGCGCGCAGCAGATTGCGCGGGCAGACGTAGGAACGGCGAGGCGTCTCCCAGCTGCTTTTGCTGTCCCCGGGAAGTTCCTCCCTGCTTGGGATCATCGGCCCGAATTGCGGGGACAACCTCCCCGGCCGAGTACCAGCTTTCATTGGCGGATATCGTCGACGGCGTCTCCTTGAACGATGAGAAGTCGGAGCGTGTGGAGACTGCGGATAGATCGCTTGCGCTGATGCTGCCACTGCTGCTGCTACTGGCGGTGTTGGCCAGGGATGATGTAGTGATGGTAGCTGTGGCAGTGGATCCGGGAGTTGCCGAACATATTGGAGTGCTGGTGATGGTGTTGGTGGTCGATGCGGATGGTGTCCTGGCGGTGTGACTGAAAAGTAATACAACGTGCAGGCAGGTAGGCAGGCAGGCAAAATAAAAAGACAGACGAGCAGCCAGACAACAATATACATACAGGCAGAGAGAGACAAGGAAACAGACGGACAGAGAGACAAATTAAGGTCTCTACAGTTTCAGTAACACGTATTCATGCATCTCCTCCAGCTAGCACAACATGAACTCCAGCTAGCACAACATGAACTCCAGCTAGCACAACATGAACTCCAGCTAGCACAACATGAACGAAATGAGAGCGTGTACAAGTACCTCTCTTTGAAAAGCACCACC